ATATTGCATTTTTTTAAGGACTAGACAACTTAAGATCCAGAATTTTTTTCCAGGACCAAGAGGACTTAAACTCTAGACTTTTTTATTTTTTTCAAGAACCAGTAGGATTTTTTGAACTTCATTTATAAGGACCATACGTGCTATAATACAGAGTATTTTCTTACATGTCTTTCAAGGGTCAACAAACTAGAAATGGTGGACTTGAACAAAAAAACAAGTAAAAAAGCTATAAGTTCGGCCGGGCCGAACTTTGAATACCCTCCATCATTTGGAAATATGGCAATTCTCAAAAAAAAAAAAAATAAAATAAATAAAATAAATAAAAAAATAAAATAAATAAATAAATAAATTCCGTTAAAATAAACTTAAAAATATCGAAAGTAGCTGTTACATTAGGGTCTATACGACGACATGGACCTGCATAGGCAACTTTTGTCATAAGCCCTTAGAATATTCAAATGCGAAACTTGAAAAAAAATCGATAAACAATATCGACAAAATCATCAAAATACTGAATATCGTTATATGGGGGATATACGAAATTTTTGTTACAGGCAACCATTACGAACTTCAAATACCAAATTTGAAACAATTCCGGCAAATGCTGTCGCTAAAATCATTAAAATACCGAATATCGGGAGGTACTGTTATATGAGGGCTATACGAAGACGTGGACCTACACAGACAATTTTCTGTCATAGGTTGTAGCACCCATTACGAACTTCAAATACGAAATTTGAAATAATTTCGGTAAATAATGTCGCTGAAAATCATGAAAATACCGAATATCTTGAGGTATCGTTTTATGGAGGCTATACTAAGACGTGGACCTGCACAGACAATTTTCCGTATTATGCTGTAGTATCCATTACGAAATTCAAATACCAAATTTACAACAAATCCGGTAAATAATGTCGCTGAAAATCATAAAAATACCGAATATCGGGAGGTACGGTTTTATGGGGATTATACGAAGACGTGGATCTGCACAGATAATTTTCTGTCATAGGCTGTAGTATACATTACAAAACTCAAATACGAAATTGGAACCAAATCCGGTGAATAATGGCGCTTAAATCATCAAAATACCGAATATCGGGAGATACCGTTATATGGGGGCTATGCCAAAACGTGGACCTATATGGTCCATTTTCAATACCAAAAGTCCTGCAGACATAATATATATGTGAGTAAAATTTTATCAACCTACTACATTTCGCTGGAAGCTACAGTGAATTCCACAGACGGATAGACGGACATCACTAAATCGACATAGAATTTTATGCTGATCCAGAATATATATACTATGTAGGGTCTACTAAAAATATTTCGAGGAGTTACAAACGGAATGACATACTTAATATACCCTCCATACTATGGTGGAGGGCATCTATCTTCTTTCCTTTGTCCAGATTTCAAAGAAAAAAATCCTCTGACCAGTGAATCGATTTTTTCTGCCAAAAAAATGCCATGGCAGGGGATCGATTTTTCCTATAAAAACTGCTTCTCAGGGGGCACATTTTTTCCACTGGACCTATTTTTCTACAGAAAAAAATCCTCTGATCGTACATTTTTTAAAATATGTTCTTAAGGATCTCAATTTTAAAAACCGTTGATTAAAAAAATTAAATTCAGGTCCAGCATACCATAAGTCATGATTTTTTATGAATAATCTTTTCCGAACGATGCTTCGTATTTTTTAATATTTTTAAAGGACTAACAGACAAAAAATCGAGGACTTTTTTGGGGAATTTTAGAGAATATTAGAGAATATTTTCGAAAGGGATATTCAGTTTTTTTTGTAGAAATATTCTATCGATTTTTTCCTGAATAGAGAACGGTTTCTTTTTAACAAAAAATTGTCTTTGTCCTGAAATTCTATTTCCTTTTTTCTAAAGAAAAAAATTCTAAACCCAAAAAAAATCCTCTGACCCACATATCCCAAATCCCCCTGGAAATCGTGGATTTTTATAATCTGAAGGATGTACAGGCTAATAATCGTGATTTTTTCCATCAGTCCTCAGGTAGAAGAAATGTTCTTCTACAGGAAAATATTGGTCCCCCAGGTCAAAGGATTTCTGGCTATAGAAAAAGTATTGGACATCTTAAAAAAATTCCTCTGTGAAGATTCCCGAATTGTCCCATAAAAAATATTATTTCACCAAAGATTCTTTTTTGACAAGAGGTTCATTTTTTCTGTAAAAAATCCTATGGCAGAGGATCAATTTTTTCCACAAAAAAAATCTTCTCAGGGCAGGTTAGCTTTTTTTGTGTAGAAATGGATCAATCTTTTTAATAGAAAAAAAACCTCTAACCAGATGGAGGGAATTTTTTGCAGAAAAAAAATTCTTTGACAAGGTATCAATTTTTTCCATAAAAAATTCTTCTCAGGGGAGGTTTGCTTTTTTTGTGTAGAAATAGACCGATTTTTCCAATAGAAAAAATCCTGTAACTTTCTACAGAAAAAAGTTCCCAGACCAGAGGATCGATTTTTCAAAGACTAACAGACACAAATCGAGAGTTTTTTGTGAATATTTTAGAGAATATTTTCGAAAGGAATATTCAGAAGGGATATTCTTTGTCCTGATATTATACTTTCCTTTTTCTAAAAAAAAAATCCTAAACCCAAAAAAAAAAAATCCTCTGACCCACAGATCCCAAATCCCCATGAAATCGTGGATTTTGTATTATCTGAAGGATGTACAGGCTAATAATCGTGATTTTTCCATCAGTCCTCAGGTAGAAGAAATGTTCTTCTACAGGAAAAAAATTGGTCCCCCAGGTCAAAGGATTTCTGGCTATAGAAAAAGTATTGGACATCTTAAAAAAATCCCATTAAAAAATATTCTCTCACAATAGGACCGATGACCGATTAAAACTCGTCGATTAAGAAAATACAATTCAGAGCAAGCATACCATATATCATGATTTTTTATGAATAATTTTTTCCGAACGATGCTTCGATTTTTTTTAATATTTTTCAAGGACTAACAAAAACAAATCGAAGGTTTTTTTGTGAATATTTTACTGGGGAATATTTCCGAAGGGAAATATTTTTTTTGTAAAAATATTCTATCGATTTTTTTTTTCTAAATAGAAAACGGTTTATTTTCAACAAAAAAGGTTTTCTGTCCTGAAATACCATTTCCTTATTCTAAAGAAAAAAATCTCTGACCTACAGATACGAAATCCACCGGAAATCTCGGATTTTTTTATAATCTGAAGGCTAATAATCGTGATTTTTTCATTAGTCCTCAGGTTGAAGAAATGTTCTTTTGCAGGAAAAAAATTGGTCCCCAGGTCAAAAGATTTCATGCCACAGAAAAAATATTGGATATCTTCTTAAAAAAATTCCTCTGTGAAGATTCCCGAATTGTCCCATAAAAAATATTATCCCACCAAAGGACCGATGGATTCTTTTCTGACCAGAGAATCGATTTTTTCTGCAGAAAAAAAATTCATGGCAAAGGATCAATTTTTTCCATAAAAAATTCTTCTCAAGGGAGGTTAGCTTTTTTTGTGTAGAAATAAGACCCGATTATTTCCATAGAAAAATCCTCTAACCAGATGGATGGAATTTTTTGCAGAAAAAAATCCTTGGCAAAGGATCTTTTTTTTGTGTAGAAATGGACCGATTTTTCGAATAGAAAAAAATCCTCTAACCAGATGATCGGTATTTTTCCATTCAAAATATTCCATGGGCCACGTTTTTTTTTCTTTAGAAAAAAATTCCAGGATCGATTGTTTCTATTGATTTTTTTCTATAGAAAAATGGATTTTATTCCTAAAAAATAAAAAAAAATTCTCTGCAAAGGATAAATACTCTGCTACGACTTTAACGTCGTCGGTAACGACGTCTTTTAGTTTGTCGATAAAAACGATTTCGATGCTGTCGGTAAGTACGCTCCGTGCATGCCGATAATGTAGTCCCTACATTGTCGATAAAGGCGGTTTTATGGAGAGGTCGATATTAAGGTGTTTTGAATTGTCGATAAATGCGTTGGCTTGCACGCCACTAGAGACGATTTTGAGGTTTTTTCAAATTAAAATATTTTTTTAATGCCATTGCTATAGAAAAAATATTGGACATCTTCTTAAAAAATTCCTCTATGAAGATTCCCGAATTGTCCCATAAAAAAATATTATTCCACCAAAGGTACGATGGATTCTTTTCTGACCAGAGATTTTTTCTGTAGAAAATCCTATGGCAAAGTATCAATTTTTTTCATAAAAAATTCTTCTCAGGGGAGGTTACCTTTATTGTCGAAATAAGAACCGACTTTTTCCATAGAAAAAATCCTCTAACCAGATGGACGGCATTTTTTGCAGAAAAAAATCAATGGCGAAGGATCTTTTTTTGTGCAGAAATGGACCTATTTTTCGAATAGAAAAAATTCCTTAAACCAGATAATCGGTATTTTTCCATAAAAAATATTCCACGGGCCACGTTTTTTTTTTCTTTAGAAAAAAATCCCTGACCAGAGGATAGATTGTTTCCATTAAATTTTTTCTTTAGAAAAATGGATTTTATTCCAAAAAAAAAATTAAAAAATCTTCTCCAATGGGTAAATACTCTGCTACGACTTAAATGTCGTCGGTAACGGAGTCGTTTGATTTGTCGATAAAAACGATTTCGATGATGTCGGTAAGTACGCTTTTTGCATGCCGATAAAGTTGTCCCTACATTGTCGATAAGGGTGGTTCTATGGAGAGGTCGATATTGAGGTGTTTTGAATTGTCGATAAATGCGTTGGCTTGCACGCCACTTGAGATTTGAAGGTTATGTCAAATTAAAATATTTTTTTATTTTTAATGCCATTGGACCCCTAGAACAATTTTTTTCAATTTTCTATTCTTTTTTTTTGAAAATTTTTGTTTTTGTTTTTATAAAGCATATAAAGATTTACAAAAAAAAAAAAAAAAAAAAAATAAATCAGCAGATTTTTTAGACGTTTAGAATATTTTTTTTTGGTTTTGGTTTTTGATTTAAGATCTATAGCACGCCAACAGCTTTAAAGCTAGTTTAGAAATGTGAAAAAGCTTTGTTTTGTTTTTTTTGATTAAGTCTATACTCATGAGTTTGTGAGATTTAATCTTTCTTTTGGGGGGTGGCGGCGGGGTTTGTTTCCCGGTTCCCGTCCCCTTTGGACTTACTGCGCTTGCTATTGCTCAAAACTGCTGTTATCCGACTGATGGCGTACTAAAATCTTGGGCTAGAGAAACTCACGCTTCGAACGACCACCAACACCTGCTGAGCCGCTGGCCCCCGGGCCACTGCTGGTTGTGGTGGCGGTGCCAGCCTGGCCGGCACTGCCTGAGGCGGTTGTGACAACAGTGGTGGTGGTGGCTACCGTCGATGGCGCCGGCGGCTGCTGCATTGTGGGCAGCTCCTCTTCGAGCAATCGCTGCTGTTCGGGACTCTGGACAACGGCACTAGCGGCAGCGGCTTGCGAATGGGTCTGCTTGGGAGGCGCCGGTGCTTTTCTGCTCTTCGAACGCCGCTTCTTAAGCATCAAGGGTCCGAGACCATTGCCACCCGGGGTGGTGGTGACCATTTGTACCGGCGTTAGCAGGTTGGATGAGCTAGTTGCTGCAGCCGTAGTTGGCATGGCTATGGCTGCAGCTGCACCTGTTGTCGTTGGAGCAGAGGATGCCGCCGCACCCAATCCACCACCTGCCACCGGACCGATGGCCGGTGCGGTGGTGGCGCTGGGCGGGGCCGTGGATATTGTTATGACCGTGTCGGCGGCCGGTGTTGTGGCGGTGGAATGTGTCGCCCCGCCTTCAGGGCGTCTACCAACTAAGCCCCCTGAGCTGCTGCCACTGGCCGCTGTGGTTGCCGTCGAACTACCGCATACACACACGTTATCATCAGCAGGCGTTGTCTGGCCGGAGGAGTCATGCTGCAAACGCTTGACCAGCTCCCCCAGCATGTCCTCAATGCGACCAATACGTTGTTGCATGCGCTGTAATTCGAGGCGTACATCAACTTTCAGATCCAAAACGGTGGCAATCAGATCACGTTGCGCCAACGTGGGAGGCTGTTCTCGCAGACCTGTGTCATAGGTGTCCGAGGTGGTGGCACGCGATGAAGCCATTTCGATTTGTCGTTCACGTTCCAACGCCAGGTTACGGTCTTTGGCCGTGATGGCGGCCAGGCTGACGGCGGTTGGGGCGCTGCTGCCCTCAATGACAACACGGCTGTCACGACTGGGCGGCGAAGAGTCCACCTCGCCGCCCTCATCGATGGTGTCCTGGCGGGCCAAGGTGGCTTGGCTGGCCTGGAGTTTGGGAGCCTTAGGGAATACCTGAAAAGAGATTGGAGAGAGAGAGAAAAAGAAACACAAGGCGTGGCGGGGAACCACGAAATCCCCAAGGAGGAGAGGAGCGAGAGTTGAAATATGAAGGAGAAAAGAGAGTGAGAGAGAAAGAGATAGAGAGGAGAAAAAAGGAACAAAAAATAAAAGGGAAAATAAAGAAATAGAGAGAAGGAAAATCATTTCCATACAAGATTAGGGAGAGAGAGAGAGTCACACAGTGAGTAAGTGGGTTGTAGAGAGAGAGACAGTCACAGAGTTGCATATTATTTTGGGATCCCGAAATTCACATTCATTTGAGAGTGAGTTTTGGTTTGTAAAGATGTTTTGAGTTGAGTTGTTGCCGTAGAGTTTCGTTCAATGGCATTCATACACACAAACACACAGTGATGTTGGTGAAGTGTTCGAACACCGTGGCATTCCATTTTGTTTTTTGAGGTGAAGATTTTTTACAAAATGTTTATATTTGTTTATTAACAGTTTTTTTGTTTAATTTTATTTTTTTTTTTTTGGTTTTGATTTTATGTGAGTTGCGTACAAAAATCCAATTGTGCGGAGGGCAGGCAAAGGGAAAAGAAGTAACAATGAAAATATTATAAATGTGTTTAAGTTTTTTTTTTTTACTTTTTTGTGGGTAATGTTAAGGGTAAAAAATAATTTGTAATAAAATTGATAAAAACTATTAAACACAAATTTAAATAATACATTAATTTAAAACAAATAAACTAACTCAATATTACAAATGAAATCTAAAAAGATAATACAATTGAATATAATAAAACTTATTTAATATAAAAAAAACAAATTCTAAAAAATATTTCAAACAAAGAAATAGCCGAAAATTTAACATATTTGCATTTAAAGTTATTCAATCTAATTAGACGTCGGGGAGGATTTCAGAATAAAGTCAAGCAGTACGAGTTGAAAAAGCAGTTCCTTAGAGCCTCAAAATATTTTAGTTTCTTTGAAATCTAATTATGAAGGGGGATTTCAAAATGAAGTACAGCTCGCGAGAACAGATGTTGAAAATTTGAAAAAAAAATTTCTGTTAAAAAATTTAAGGTCAGGAAGTGAATTGAACCTCTTAAAATAAAGCTGAGGGTACGAGGAAAAAAACCTGAGATCTATTTTCAATGGAAAATCAATTTCGAGATTCCGAGAAATACTTTTTTTTTATCATCGTGAAGAAATCAGTCCTCCTTGGCTAAAATTTATTTTCAATGGAAACACGAGTCCTGAGATTATGGAAATGATATTTAATCTTCCTGGAAAAAATCAGTACTCGTTGGCTAATCTATCTTTAATGGACAAACGAATCCTGAGATTATGGGGAAAATAGATGTTGTCCTTCCAGTTAGAAATAAATAATATAGAATTTTCAATTGCTGCATGTGTTATGGTGAAGTCCGATTACGGGATGTAATCTTTACTCAGATTGATAAGCAAGAGCAGCATGTTTGCTTGCGACATGTGAGATAGTTATGCGTGTTTATTACCTCCGCCTAAGGTTTATGATGGCATGGTTCATAGGCATGTGTACAGTTGGTACCTATCTCTCTCTCATTTACACTTATTGATCATTTATTTTAAGTAGTTCTTAAGAAATATTTTTAATAAATAGGAAAAGACTTTGCGTCTTTAAAATATTGATCCCGATTTACATTCTGCGAGACTTTTTTTTTTGCTAGGAAATATTCGTTTTCCAGTGTTCTTGTGACTTCGTTTCAGGGATTGAAATTCTTTTCTGAAAAAAACATTGCTCCTCATTCCTGTTAAATTTACTTGACATAAGAAAATTATCATTTTGGGGCTAATAAGTGGATCCCAGGAAATTTTTCCTTCTGGGAAAGTTATTTTATGTAAGTCCGGAGACTTAAATAAACATCTCATTGACCTCAAGCTCAAATAATTTGTTTTTTATTAACAATTAAAAATGTTGAAAACCCATAAAAATATTTAAACATATTTTGGGAAATAATAGTCCCGGAATCTATTTTTTTGGTCTTGGTCGCTTAAAAAAATGGTTCTTATTGAAAGAAAAATAAATAATTTCTTGCGACCAGGAAATTTTTTTTAAGGAATTTAATAAATTTGTTTTTTGTTAATAATTAATCTCCAGATTTTGTTTGGTCCTGACCAATTGGCAATGGAAATTTAAGTATTGAGACTAATAATTTATTCACATTCAGCGATTTTTTTAGAATGCTTAATGATGTTGAAGTTGGTTCACAGGAACTGGAGATTTTTTTTAGTATACGAATTTTGAAAGAGAAAAATATGTTTCTTTGAGGCTGAAAATTTCTTCTACTGAGAAAATAGCCTTTGACATTGAGGGTTTTTTTAGTCCAATATCGTTATTTTCTATTGAAGCATCTTTTTCAAGGCCTCAAGAGTGTTTTATTAAAAAAAAACACCTGCGGATTTCTTCTACAGACATAAATCAATCTCTAGAACCCCGAAAATGATTTCCACACACTCTGAATAAATTCTTCTCTGAAAATTCATTTTTTTTATTAAGAAAATATAAAAAATCCTTAAATATAAGGAGACTTCTTCCTTTAGGGGCTATGACATTTTAGAACTCATATTTCCTGATAAAAAATAGTTTTCCCATTCTCAAAAAACTGATAAGGACCTAGCAAATGTATTTAAACATGACCGATTCCAGAACCCCATTTACTATTTACTGATTATATTTCGTCGATAAAGGTTGTTTCGATGACTCGGTAAAAACTTGGTGGGATGCTTCCATTTCATTGTCGATCAGTCCCTAGTTTTTTTTTACAGAAAAATTTTGATATGAAAAATATTTAGTGACTAAGTTAACGTCGTGGGTAATGAAGCTTCCGTTAATAAATATGTAAAATAAAATACCCGTAATGCGGTATTTTCATCGTTGATCAATTTTTCTGAAGAAATTTTAGAATACAAATTTTAGTTTGATGTTAGTAGTATTTCCGCTTGTGATTTGGACTTTATCTTTTTGGCTAAAACATTGCACAGGGACTACGATTAATTAGACTTCATTGAGGTATTTTTTTTGGTTTTTTTTTTTGAGTAATTTTTGTTTAGAAGTTATGTTCAGAAACTGAGAACTTTTTTAAAAGTAGAAGAACTTTTTTTTAATTTCTTATTTATATAGTAGGGCTAGGCAATGTTGCCTACTTCCCACAAGTCCACCTTGTCTGCAAAAAAAGTTCTTATTTTTTTGGAGAAACAATTTTTTTTGAGTCCTGAAAAAGTGTTTTCGATGAAAATGAGTTCAGCTCTACGAACTAAATTGGAAATGGATTATTGTGTCATTTTGCAAAAAGAAAACTGACTGGAATCATTTTTTAGAAAGATTTGTTTCCAACACAAAAAAGGGATTCCTATAATAAAAGACGGATTTATCTAATACAGAAAAATTCTCCATTTTGAGTTTATGTTTGCGGGCAAGAGAGTAATTTATTTCGTCGGTAAACACGATTCAAAATTGTTAAGAGTATGCCGATAAGGTAGTTGCTCGGGGTCGATAAAGATGTTGCTGCGGTGGTCGATAAATGTGAGTTTCTGACCGTCGATAAGGACGTTAAATTAAGAAAGGAGAAAAAAAATTGTTTTAGAATCTGCAGCTAATTTTGATAACATATCTGCTGAATACATAGTTTTCTATAGGACAAATTCGACAGGATACTTATGTCTTGAAAACAATTTTTATGGATTGAGGATATTGGTTTCTCTAAAGAAATTGTAATTTTGATAACGGCATTTTTTCGAATGGGAATATTTCTGAAAAGTTATTTTATTTTTCTAAAAACAAAAAAAAAACTTTGATAAATTTTGCTATCAATTTGAGGTTATGTGAACTGATGATATGCAGCCGATAGAGATGTTTTGGTCGATAAATCAGAACATATTACTGTCGATAAGAACTGTTCGAAGGTAGGTGATAAATGGGGGTATGTGATCGTCGATCCAGACAGTGAGAAAATGGGCCGATAAAAGTAGGTACGTATTTGAGGTTAAGTTTTCGGTAAAAACGATTCGAATACAGTCAGCAAATGAAGGTGCCGGTTAATATGTTATTCCCATGTTGATGGAGGCATTTTTGGGAGGGGTCGATTATTAATACAGTCGGTAATCATATTACTGTCGATAAAGAAGACTTCGAGGTGACCTATGAATGCAATTTTTTAAATCATTTAGCAAAAAAACCGTAGAATTGAAATTTTTTCTGTAAGGCAATATTCTGTAGAAAATTTCTCTTTTCAAAAAAAAGATCCTTCCAATAAAAATATATATTCTCGTCAATAAGTAAAAATTTTATATGGTCGGTAAAACGATTTCAATACTCGTCGGTAAATATGTTGTCGATAAATAAGAGTATATATTACTGTCGATAAAGACCGTTCGAAGGTGGTCGATAAATGCGAGTTTGAGATCGTCAATACAGAAAGATGATAACATTGAAGTTATGTTGTCGGTAAACATGATTCCAAAACCCGTCGACAAATAAGTAATGGAAGATGTCGGTAAATTGGTTATTCCAATGTTGATGAAGACGTTTTTAAGGTGGTCGATAAATGAGAGCATTTTATTCTGGATAAAGATGGCTTTCAGTTGGTTTATAAATGCGAGTATGGGATGGTCGAAACAAACAGTCGGGAGATAGTCGATAAATGTTGGTACGAATTTGAGGCTGTCATGGTGTTATGATGGTATTGATTTTTTTATTTTTCTATATCGCAGGTTTTTTTACAGACAGAAGATAAATTTGAGGTTATGTTGTCGGTAAATATGATTCCAAACTCGGTCGGCAAAAAAGTAATGGAAGATGACGGTAAATTGGTTATTTCAATGTCGATGGAGACGTTTTAGAGGTGGTCGATAAATAAATGAGTCGATAAATGTCGGTACGAATTAGAGGCTATGTCATGGTGTTAAAATGCTATTAATTTTATTTTTTTTTTAATTTTTTTCTGGATCGCATGTTTTTCAATATTTTTTTTTTATAAAAAAAAAATACAAACAAAATTCATTAACCAAAAATTTAAATGTTCAAAAAAAAAAAGAAAAAAAAATCATTCCAAAAAATACTAAATATTTTAAAATGATTGTGCGAAAATATTGTTTTATCTTGTTTTTGTTTTGGATCGATTAATTTACTTTATTGCCTTGTCCACCATTGCTACTCGAAGTACTACTCTGCCTTGCCTGAGCGGCAGTGCTTTCGCGCAGACTTTCGCGGGCACTCAAACTTCTCGAAACTGCTACCTTGGCGCTGGTATCGCTAGCCGAATCGACACTTGAACTACCCAAGAGGCGTCCCCATTTGCTAGCACGTGTACTACGTGCAGATGGTGGACCCGATGATGGTGATGGCGAGGGGGATGGTGTGGGTGCGGCAGCGGTGGTTGTTAGAACACGGGAGTCCTCGGTTAGTGTTAATTTGGCAGGTAACTTCTTTGGGGTGTTGCCACAAATAGAGACAAACACACACGCACACAAGTTTTCAAACGGGGTTGCCAATTACGGAGTTGGGCGGGAAATTTGCGGGGAAATGTTGGAGAATTGTTTTATTTATAGATTTTTTTTGAGTTTGGGGAAGGAGGGAATAAAATGTTAATGATTTTTGGTTATGTTGTTTGTTTTTTTTTTTATGAACATTTGATTATTAGCAATAGACACGAACACACATACAGACACATATACACACACATAGCAATACATGTGTATAATTTTGTTGCAGAGTTTTGTTGTTGTGGTGTTTTTTTTCGGTATTTGGCGTTTTTGTATTGACGAGTTTTTATGTTTTTTGTTGTGTTTTGAAAAAAGACAAAAAAGAGAGACAAGACAACGGGCATAAGTTTTTAATTCTTATTTTTTTTAAATATGATTAATTTTTGTTTTGTATAATTTATTTTTTTAAATTATTTCAAATTACAAATAAACAATAACTCAACACAAATAGAGAACATATTTAACAACGCCACCTAAAAATATTGAAATTAAATTTGAAATTTCTTAATTTAATAAAGGAGGATTGAAAGGATAAAAACCATTTATTTTAACATATTTGCATTTAAAGTCATATCGGGAATAAAAGATTTGAGACTCTGGGAAGTAAAGATCGCCGTTTGAAAAAATGAGTTTTTTAAAGTAAGAAATGAAGAATAGGGATAATCGAGGAAATCTTGGGTTTGGAGGACGTCAACAGCATACAAGAAAATCATTTTAACATATTTGCATTTAAAGTTAATTTAGAACTACATTTGAAAATTTTGTATTTCTTAAAAATTATTTAAATTTTCTACAGAAAAAAATGCCTCCCAGAGCCCAGAGAATTTTTTTCTACAGAAAAAAATGCCTCCCAGAGGCCAGAGAATTTTTTTCTATAGAAAAAAATGCCTCCCTGAGGCCAATGCATTTTTTTCTATAGAAAAAAAAAACTTCCTGAGGTCAATGAATTTTTTCCTATGGAAAAAATGCCTCCCTCAGGCCAATGATTTTTTTTTCTATAGGAAAAATGCCTCCCTGAGGCCAGTGAATTTTTTTCTATAGAAAAAAATGCCTCCCTGAGGCCAGTGAATTTTTTTCTATAGAAAAAAATGCCTCCCTGAGGCCAGTGAATTTTTTTCTATAGAAAAAAATGCCTCCCTGAGGCCAGTGAATTTTTTTCTATAGAAAAAAATGCCTCCCTGAGGCCAGTGAATTTTTTTCTATAGAAAAAAATGCCTCCCTGAGGCCAGTGAATTTTTTTCTATAGAAAAAAATGCCTCTCTGAGGCCAGTGAATTTTTTTCTATAGGAAAAAATGCCTCCCTGAGGCCAGTGAATTTTTTTCTATAGAAAAAAATGCCTCCCTGAGGCCTGTGAATTTTTTTTCTATAGAAGTTTCAAATTCATTTTTAATTTTTTTAAATTTTGAAAACAAAAGTCCTTGACTGAAAATGTTAACATATTTATATTCAAAGATATTAAAATTTTGTTGATTTTTATCCTTTAATCCGCTTTTTTTAAATAAAAAAATAAGCTACAAACAAAGAAAAAACTTTAAACAATTATTTATTTATCAAACCTTTGGCACGTTAAGGCATTGATTTGGCTTGGGTAAGACATTTAGAGACATTTATTTAAATTTAATTTTTTTAAAAAAGAAAAATATTTTTTAAAACTACAAAAAATAAGGAAAACAACTCTTCAACACACACATACATTGATGCAAATTAACCCATACACATACAAATTTAAAACACAATTATTTTTTGAGAGAGAAAATATCTACTTCCCACTCACCTTATTACGATCCGTATCGGCGGCATCTGAGGCACCGCCTCCACTGCTGCCACCACCACCGCCGCCTCCTTTCTCTACATCGCTTTGGCCCGACACGGCCTCCTTCGATCCCGTCTGAACCTGAGGCGTTCGCCGGAATTTCGAAAAGATCTTTCGCACCAAATGATCCTGATTCTGAGGCAGCTGTGGCTCATTTTTTCGCCTTTCGGCCAATTCTTTTTCGCGCTTCACATCGGCCACCTTGCGAAAAATCAAACGATGCCTCAGATTGTAGGTGAGCACCAGATTGCGGGCAAAGCTATTTGCGAAAGCCGAATAGAAATCGAGGACTTCGAGTAATTTATCACGTTTGATGGCATGCAAATCACAATAGGTAAGGGCACGGACATTGGCCGCACTTTGGCCAACGGCAGAATCCTTCCAGAATTGGTCGCCAAAGACGTCGCCTTTGCCTAAATACAAAAATGTTTGAAAAATATTTCAAAATATTCCCCGATCGTTTCAAAACTCACCCAATATAGCCACAACTTCGTCGTCCTGTATGACCTCCAGCGATCCCGTGACAATGAAACACAAGCTATCTATACTCTCACCCGTGTGATAGAGTAAATCACCCGGTGCCGAGTGCGACATCATAAAGTGCATGGCCAATGCTCGCAGACAGCCATCCGAGGCAAGACGAAACGCTGGATGCTCGTTAAATACTTTGCGATTTAGATGAACACAAATATCAGCCTTCATATCTTTCGGACAATAGTTTAGTACCTGTGAAATGAATTTTGTTTGTTTGGTTGGTTGATGATGGTATTTTATTCTTGGATTTGAACACAGATTACTTAAACAGAGATAGAGAGAGGGGGAGAGTCTATGCGGTAAGTTTGTTTTCTTGTTTTATTTTTTGGATTCTAAGACTAATCTCGTTTTTTTTCAGATTCTAAGACTAATCTCTTTGTTTTATTTCAGATTCTAAGACTAATCTCCAAACACGAACATCTAACGATCCTACTTTCCAGAACGAAACGCGAAATAAAATTGAAAAACAATGAAAAACTCAAGAAAAAAATGAAGGGGTCGAAGGTTGAAATCCTGGAATTTTCAATTTAATATATTTGCATTTAAAGTTATATCCTCGATAAAGAGAATCCCATAAAAGGTCAAACGTCTAATAGTAGATTTTTTATGGAATAAAACTCGGTGAATGCCGGGAGGCTTCTTTTCATTGAAAAAATAAGTTTTTTCCTATAAAAAATACCTCTCCGAGGCCTATGATTTTTTTTCTATAGAAAAAATACCTCTCCGAGGCCAGCGAATTATTTTCTATAGGAAAAAATACCTCTCCGAGGCCAGCGAATTTTTTTCTATAGGAAAAAATACCTCTCCGAGGCCAGCGAATTTTTTTTCTATTGGAAAAAATACCTCTCCGAGGCCAGCGAATTTTTTTCTATAGAAAAAAATGCGAATTTTTTTTATAGGCAAAAATACCTCTCCGAGGCCAGCGAATTTTTTCTATAGAAAAAAATGCCTCTCCTATAAAAAATGCCTCACTGAAGCCAGTGAATTTTTTTCTATAGAAAAAAATGCCTCACTGAGGCTTGCGAATTTTTTTCTATAGAAAAAAATGCCTCACTGAGGCTTGCGAATTTTTTTCTATAGAAAAAAATGCCTCACTGAGGCTTGCGAATTTTTTTCTATAGAAAAAAATGCCTCACTGAGGCTTGCGAATTTTTTTCTATAGGAAAAAAATGCCTCACTGAGGCTGGCGAATTTTTTTCTATAGAAAAAAAAATGCCTCACTGAGGCTGGCGAATTTTTTTCTATAGGAAAAAAATGCCTCACTGAGGCTGGCGAATTTTTTTCTATAGGAAAAAAATGCCTCACTGTGGCTGGCGAATTTTTTTCTATAGGAAAAAAATGCCTCACTGTGGCTGGCGAATTTTTTTCTATAGGAAAAAAATGCCTCACTGAGGCTGGCGAATTTTTTTCTATAGAAAAAAATGCCTCACTGAGGCTTGCGAATTTTTTCTATAGAAAAAAATGCCTCTCTGAGGCCTGTGATTTTTTTTCTATAGAAAAAAAATGCCTCCCCGAGGCCAGTGAGTTTTTTTCTATAGAAAAAAAATGCCTCACTGTGGCCTGACGAATTTTTTTCTATAGAAAAAAAAATGTCTCGCTGAGGCCTGTGAATTTTTTTCTATAGAAAAAATGTCTCGCTGAGGCCTGTGAATTTTTTTCTATAGAAAAAAATGCCTCATTGAGGCGTGACGAATTTTTTTCTATAGAAAAAAATGCCTCACAGAGGCCTGACGAATTGTTTTCTATAGGAAAAAATGCTTCCCTGTGGCTAGTGATTTTTTCTGTAGAAAAAATGCCTCACTGAGGTTGGAGTATTTTTTTCTATAGGAAAAAAATGCCTCACTGAGGCTGGCGAATTTTTTTCTATAAAAAAAAAAAATGCCTCACTGAGGCTGGCGAATTTTTTCTATAGGAAAAAAATGCCTCACTGAGGCTGGCGAATTTTTTTCTATAGGAAAAAAATGCCTCACTGTGGCTGGCGAATTTTTTTCTATAGGAAAAAAATGCCTCACTGTGGCTGGCGAATTTTTTTCTATAGGAAAAAAATGCCTCACTGAGGCTGGCGAATTTTTTTCTATAGGAAAAAAATGCCTCACTGAGGCTGGCGAATTTTTTTCTATAGGAAAAAAATGCCTCACTGAGGCTGGCGAATTTTTTTCTATAGGAAAAAAATGCCTCACTGAGGCTGGCGAATTTTTTTCTATAGGAAAAAAAATGCCTCACTGAGGCTGGCGAATTTTTTTCTATAGGAAAAAAATGCCTCACTGAGGCTGGCGAATTTTTTTCTATAGGAAAAAAATGCCTCACTGAGGCTGGCGAATTTTTTTCTATAGGAAAAAAATGCCTCACTGAGGCTGGCGAATTTTTTTCTATAGGAAAAAAATGCCTCACTGAGGCTGGCGAATTTTCTATAGTAAAAAATGCTCAATGAGCTGGCGAATTCTATAGGAAAAAAATGCCTCACTGAGGCTGGCGAATTTTTTTCTATAGGAAAAAAATGCCTCACTGAGGCTGGCGAATTTTTTTCTATAGGAAAAAAATGCCTCACTGAGGCTGGCGAATTTTTTCTATAGGAAAAAAAATGCCTCTCCGAGGCCAGTAAATTTTTTTCTATAGAAAAAATGCCTCTCCGAGGCCAGTGAATTTTTTTCTATACAAAAAAATCCCTCCCTGAGGCCTGCGAATTTTTTCTAATCTTGTAATCTTTTTGGATTCCCCCTTGGTATGTCCCCTCTAGTCTCTACACCAATTTTTTGTCAAATTCACAGTGTTACGAAATCAAAACAAAAATATATAGATATTTTTTTTGAAACAGAACATTTAAAATTCAATTTCGTAACACTGTCCAGTTGATGTTTTTTGTTTTTGTAGCAAACAATGCGATCTCAACTATTTTTAAAGGCACAAACTATAGTCATCGAAAATGGTATAAAGGCAGTGTTGTTGTTTTATTTTTTTTCGGGAAGGAGAAGGATTCGTTTCTGAAAGAGAACATTTTCAACTAACACATTTTTGAGATATAAAATTCAAACCGAACTGAAATTTAGTGTTTTTTTCAGATATTGGTTCGGTTTAAAGCTATCATCTAATGGCAAATATTTGACGGACGCTTTTCGTATTGACACGGATAAAAGCTGTGACTTGGTTTGTTTTTTTTTGTTAGCTGGCAGTTAACACACACACACACTAGCTTTCTACCTAAAATTGTTATCAGTTAGCGTTTTTTCGAGTTTCTCTGATTTACCTTGAGGAAGAGAGAGAGAAAGAAAGAAAAAAACAGAGACACACAGACAAATTAAAGAGGAACAAATTATTGGAATTCATGATTTAAAAAAAATCGGAAAAAGAAAATAGCGAAAAATTAAATGTGGTTGAAATAAAGCAGAGAAGAATGAGAAAGAGATCAAAGCAGTGTGGAGGATAAAAAATTGTGCGAAAAAGCATTGATGTAATAAAAAAAGGAAGCATTTCTATGAAAGAAAGTTATGGATAAATGGATAGCTTTAAATACAGATGAGCTTTTGAGTCTCTTTATGAAGCAGATTTGCACTTTAAGATTTGGCATAAAGAATTTTTTCTTAAAAAATGCTACTTTGTAAAAAAAATTAAAAAAAAAATTTTCCTTAAGGAAATATTTTATCAAAATATAAACACGTTTTTCCCAAAAATTGCCAAAATTATTTATTGAATATTTTTTTTTTTTTTTGAGTAAAAAAATGTATAATTATTTTTTTTACAAAAAATTTTTAATAAAATTAATTTAAAAAAATATATAATTTTTATTTATTATTTTATAATTATTTTTATTTTATTATTAAAATTTGTTATTTGTTTATAAAGAAAAAATTATTTTCAAAAATATTTCCAAAAATTTTTTTCCACAAAATTTTTATCAAAAAATTCTAATTTAATGTTGGTGTAATAATATTCTTAATAATCCATAATCCCAGAATATTATCAATAAAGACAAAATTATCGGTTTTGAAAAATATTTGTTTCGAAGAAAAATAATTATTTTAATATTTGAAGGGCAATTTCTGTCCAAAGCTTGGTTTTTAAAAAAAAGAGTATTAAGAAAAATTTATGAAAATTTATCACACAAAAATATTTTTAATTTTTCTTTTTCGGAATATTTTTTGGATCGAAACGATTTGGAAAATATTGTACAAATTGTATCCAATTTTGTACAACTTAGTAATTTTCGCAAAACCACCCCCATATCTCAATCCCAGACCCCAACAGAGACCTCAATATCAAATTTCGATATTCCATATTTTAAAATGGCCATAACTCCTTAAATAATTAGGTTTCTTCGTTTTTAGCTATTATTTGTGATCACTTTTTTGAGCATGAATTATTGAATATTTTAAAATGGTCATAACTCCTTAAATATTGAGTTTTCGCTGTTTTTAGCTATTATTTGTGATCACTTTTCAAGGCATGAATTATTGAATATTTTAAAATGGCCATAACTCCTTAAATATTGAGTTTTCGGCGTTTTTAGCTATTATTTGTGATCCCTTTTGTAGGCATGAATTATTGAATATTTTAAAATGGCCATAACTCCCCTAATATTGAGTTTTCGGCATGAATTATTGAATATTTTAAAATGGCCATAACTCCTTAAATATTGAGTTTTCGGCATTTTTAGCTATTATTTGTGATCACTTTGTAGAGCATGAATTATTGAATATTTTAAAATGGCCATAACTCCTTAAATATTGAGTTTTCGGCGTTTTTAGCTATTATTTGTGATCACTTTGCTAGGCATGAATTATTGAATATTTTAAATTTTAAATAATACACACTTCCCAAACCAACTCCATATCTCAATCCCAGAAACCAGAAGAGACCTCAATATCAAATGCGAGATCTGTCCCTTCATTCAACACCCAATGTAGTGCCACTTAGTACTTTTCGAAAAAATACGGGACACATTTTCAAAGGTATCCAGTAATGGCCTTAAACACAGATACAATCAGATCATCATCATCATATCAAATATCAGAATTCCATCTCTATCCCTTCACCCAAACCCATTTTAGTACCGCTTAGTACCTTTCAAACAATTATTGTACATATTTCCCAAAACCACTTCCATATCTCAATTCCAGATATCGACAGAGACCTGAATATCAAATTTGAGGATTTGAGCCGTATCCCTTTACCCAATACCCAATTTGGTACCATTTGGTGCTGGTGGTACATATATGGGACACATTTCCAAAATCACTGCAAAATCTCAAACACAAATACGAAAAGTTATCTAAATATCAAATTTCAGAATTGTATTCCTTCAACCAAGACCAATTTTAGTACCTTTTAGTACTTTTCGTACAATTAAAGTACACATTTCCAAAACCAACTACATATCTCAATCTCAGATATCAACTCTTCACCCAAAACCAAGTTGTACCAAATATATCACTATTTAGCGATTTTCGTACACTTGTAGTGCACATTTCCAAAATCACCACCTAATCACAAATCTGCCACCAACAGGAATCCCAATACAACATTTAAAAATTTTGAGATAGAAAGCTAAAATTTTGCACACATGTGTATTTTATCAGTAGACAGATTAAGCTCTTAAATGGTCCATGTCGGTCGACGTTTTCATATAGCCCCCATATAACGGTACCTCCCGATGTTCGGTATTTTGATGATTTTAGCGACATTATTTAAAGACCTTAATGGGTACAAAACCTATGACAAAAAACTGTCTATTCAGCTCCAAGTTTTCGTATAGCCCCCATATGACGGTACCTCCTGATATTCGGTATTTTGACGATTTTAGCGTCATTATTCATCGGAACTGTTTCATATTTCGTATTTGAAGTTCGTAATAGGTGCTACAGTCTATGACGGAAAATTGTCTGTGCAGGCCCACGTCTTCGTATAGGCCCCCATATATCAGTGGCTCCCTATATTCGATATTTTGACGATTTTTACTACACTATTCACCGAAGTCTCGCATTTGAATATTTTAATGGCATATGCCTATGTACGTCCACGTCATCGTATAGACCCTAATATAACGGCTCATTCGTTATTTTTCATATTTTAACAGAATTTTATTATTTTATTTTTTTTTTCAAAATTTCCAAATTCGTACCAAATGGAGGAGGGATCGGTCCACGTCTTCGGATAGCCTCCCCCAACATATCGGTAGCTCCCTTTATTCGCTATTTTGATGATTTTAGCGACATTATTCACAGGAATTGTTTCATATTTCATATTTGAAGTTTCTAAAAGGTACTACAGCCCATGACAGAAAATTATCTGTGCAGGTCCAGGTCTTCGTATAGCCCCCCAAATAACGCTAACTCCCAATATTCGGTATTTTTAAGATTTTAACAGATTTTTTTACGGATTTTTTTTTTTGAAAATTGCCAAATTCATTCGAAATCGTTGTTGTTCAAGGATCGCCCGGTCCACGTCTTTATGGAGGTCCAGATCTTCGTATAGCGCCCCAAATAACGGTTTTTTTTTTAATTTTTTTACGTTCCTTCCAAATGGCGGGGCGAACTTAGCTCCTTTTTTACTTGTTCTAATTTGTTATTTGAAACTCGCAATAGGTAACAGCCACTATAACGGGAAACTGGTACTATCAACCTTTCGACATTCTTTAAATCGATTTCACTGGCAAAAATGGAAGTAGGCCCAATTTTCAATATCGATTTTTTTTAAGATTTTCTTACCTCATAATAGAGGATATTAAAAGTTCTTCTCGGTCGGACTCAACACTTGTTTATTATTTATATATTAAAACCAGTAAGCAAATTCTATAGTCTTGCGGGGCCGACCATGTGATACCCTACAACACTTCAACATATTAGAAGCCCCCTTATGTCCGAATCTATTTTGGAAGATTTCGCTTTTGAAATTATGTCACGGAACACTGCCCAGATATTATCCTTAGCTTTGTGACCAGGGACATTTGGTCAAAGCACTCCGTCGTGCTGTTAGTTCTTATGGTCCATTTTACAGCTAAACATAATCCAATGACCATCCAAAATGCTAGAATTCTTCCCTATCCGTATCTCTCTCCTCAGGCGTGTCGATTGGCTTCAATTGTGTGATCAGGAAATTTTTTCTGTTATTGTTCATTTGAACCCTTCAATAGTTTGCGAACATTTCCTGTAAGTCATGTTGGTATTTTTTCACACAAAACTATTAGTCCATTCTAGCCGCTATCCTAAACTCTAACTTCATGCGAGATTTCATGTCCGTTGGTTTCTATTTGTGACCTTTATAACTGCAAAATTAGGAACATTTTTAGTTGTTGGTCCATTTCAATCCCTAAATATATTGCTAAAACAATAGATCTAGCCCTTCTAAGCCTAATCCTACCCTTACGGACATTTTCGTGAGAATCGGACGATAATTGCAAACTCTATATAATATTCCTAACCTGTGTGGTAAGGTGAAAAAATATTACAAAATATTCACTTCAATATTATAAGTCAAATTGAAAAAATCGAATGCGATAAACAAATATTAAAAAATAAAAATTTGTCACAAAATACTACAAAATCTATATTATGCGATTTTTTCGGATTTTATACTTTTATGCCAAGAGGGCATTCTGAATTGAAAAATTTGTCAAAATCGGTCCAGCTATTCTTGTGATATAAGCATTCTAGCTAACATCCTCTTCCTTTGTATATATACATTGTACATATTTCGCTATGTATATTCGATATATTTACTATCGGCATCCACGTAACGTTCAGAATTGACCTGTTCGTCTATTTGTGATTTCGCCGAGATTAAAAATATTCGCGGTTTAATGGAAAATTTGAAATTTATGGTCTATTTCACCCCCTAAATATTACCCGATGACCATCAAAATTGCTCTAGCTCCATGCTATAATTGTGACCTGTAGAGCAACCACAAAATCAGGAAAACTTTCACTTTTTGGTACATTTCAACCCCTAAATATTATGCGATCATCTCCAAATGAAATAGGGTTGTATTCTGATCTTAACCCCACCTTCGTTTTCAATTTCGTGAGGATCGGGCCATAATTGCGACATGTAGAGTGATTACAAGTTAACATCGACAAACGGACGGACGGACATACATAGCTAGATCGACTCAGCTCGTCGAGTTAGGAAGATCCATATATACTTTCCTATGTGGGAAACCAATATTTCGAGGTGTAACATAATTTTTGGCCCAATCAAACTTACAATACCCCCTAACTTCTAGTGTTGTAGGGTATAATAAAAATTTAAATATTAAAATTATATTTGAAGTCGTAAAAGTTTGTTAAATATTGAATTTATATTTTAATATTTAACAAACTTTTTCGTTCCAAAAAAATGTTCTTAGCAGACAGGAAAAAAATTAAAAATTTAATTTTTTTGAGATTTTTTTTTTAAATATAAATATTTAGTCAGCTATTTATCTATCTGTACATTTATTATTACTATTATTTTTTTTTTTTTTTTTTTGGACTCCCATGTAAAGAGAACATTTTCTTGTTATTCTGCCCCTTAAAATATTGTGTCTCAAAGCTCATCAGCTTTAAAGCTATTTTTCAAATAAAATATTTTTTTTTAAAATTATTTAAAATGAGCTTAGTTTTATTGAAAGCTTACGAAATATAAAGCCAAAGGAGTAAAGATATAAATAAAAAATAGACAAAAAAAGAAACAGAAAATTCAATTAAAGCTGGCTGGAAATAATAGATAAGAAGCTTTGAAAAAAAGGCTATAAAGTTTTGGAGAAATTGGATAAAAGTGAAACGAGCTAAAAGGATGCAACTATGAAATGAAGGGGGGCTGCTAGTTTGCCATCTATAATTTATTGCAGAGTTTTTTTATGGTATTTTTGCCTACAAAACTATGGTATGGTCAACGCAACTATTTTCGAATATTTTTGCTATTTTTATATTTTTTTTTAATTTAAAACAAGAAAACAAGGCTTCGAAATATAAATTTTTCGAATCTATTTTTTTGGGGTGTATTTACAACTGCGTGTGTTTTTTTTTTGTTCTGTGAAAATGTGTTCTGGGTTTGGAATTTTTTGGTGTATTTTTTTTTTCTGGTGACTGTGTATGTGTTGCTTGTGCTTTAGTTTTCAATTGAAAATATTTTTTTTTTTGAAAGTGTTTGTTTTTCAATTTGTTGTCTAGTTTACAGGAATTATAAAAAACAAGGAGATAGTTTGGAAAGAAAAAAACGAAGTAGGAAACCACTTTGAAATACCTTTTCCGTGTCTAAACCCTTGGTCATGGCCCACGTGGATACCACATAATCCATAACGCGTTCACTTAAGGCCTTGGGCACCTCGTGCAACTTCATAAACTCACGAACATTGTTGAGCATGTCGTGATACTTGGCCGTTGCCGAGGTCATTTGTTGGATGATGGTGGTGACATGACCGAAAATGGTGGCATAAAGTAGAG